GATAGAAAAATAACTGCTGTCACCTTGATAAAATCAAACTACCACCTCTAGATGAATAAATATCATTTCCAATACAAATATTTTGTCTAAAATCTTTATTTTTTATTAGGAGAGTATTAGGTAACAGGAGCTCAATACATATGTAATTAAATGAACAGCTGTGTAATTAGTGCTGATTATAGAGCTAATAGGAGAGCTCCTGTAACCTCTTACTCATCTAATTAGTGTTACCCAAATTCGGTCTTGGTCTCCTAACTGTTGCAAGACCAATACCAGGACTGGTAAAAAAAGTCGATTTTTAAAAATAAAAATTAAGGCAAATTAGTTACTAATACTTGACAATCTTAGTTACTGTATGTAAATAATTGGTATAACCAATATTCTTTTGCATTTAACTCTGATTTTTCATTCGGGCTTAGTTAGATTTCCCCTATCTAAAAAAATACAGTAATATCTCTATAGTATTAAGCTAATAGGTAACTGCAAGACTGTTGCAAGACTCTAGTTCAAGACCAAGACCATTTGGGCAACACTATATCTAATACTATAAATTTTTTTTTTAAACTTATTTATTGAAAAATGTTACAATCTGTCTCATGGACATATATAATAATGTTCAGAGATCACATTCACACTCTATGTACAATAAAAAAATAGATTATACAGAAAAATAATATAAATATAATAAATAAGAATAAAATAACCTATAATAAATAAATAAAAAGAACACATACATACCTATATAAATACTAAAATTGACTTAGTTTTTTTTTTTTTTTCTTTTTTCCCTTAAGAATTTTCTGTATTATTTCACTAATAGCTATATTTCTTTGTTTTTATTAAAGTTTTTGTCTTTGTTATATATTCATTATCTTACATTATTATCTTTTATATATCTATTTTTATGTATTTCATTTTTTTTTTATTATATTGTAAATATGGTATGAATGTGCCTTACAGCTTTAATACTCACTCAGTACTCTTAAGTGTGGTAAAATGTATTATACCTCAATAAAAATATTTTTTTTTTTAAACTTATTTATTGAAAAATATTACAATCTATCTCTAGGACATTTATAATAGAGAATAAAAATATTAATACCAAAAAAAAAAAATACTAAAATAAAATAAAATCCTCAACGCTCCTTACTTTGTCACAAATAAAATCATCCATGAAGTCCTTAATGATCCATATGTATCAGATTTGGCCCAATCCAGATATCTATCCTTCCATAACAAACTTCAGAACCATCCGAACCCTCTCGTTTCAAACTTACTTCCTCCTCGATCACTGATAACACTCCGAGGCGTCTAAAAAGAAGATGGCCTCGTGATCTACTTATGTAAATATATTATTAGAGTGCTACCAATGGATAGTTTCAAAACAAGCGTTTTCGTGTGATTGTATTTTTACTGTGTGCACATTTACTAGTTGTGATTTTTTTTTATAATACAGTTGTAAATATCAACGAATAAAAAAAAATATGACATACACTAAAACCCTTTTTATATAGCATATATTATATGGAGATATAATTATATTATTGCTACATTCCTGACAGCCAGCGTGTCAACGGTCAATTAAAGCCCAGACTGACCCAATTAAAGGAAGGCAACTCAGAGCGGAGGTCGCTAACAGCCGTGTGATTGGTCGGCGGCGCTGTTCTTCGCGGATTAGTCCGTACGTGCCTCTTCCGACCGTTCCAACAGATATCGATATGTATCGATATAAAAACCCTTCCTGCCCGAGGAGCAGGCAGCCGTGGGAGCCCTCTGACCTCGGCTCATTGTACTTGCAGTTCTCATATCGAGTTGGAGCAGTATTTCGATTTCATGGATTGCATGGCTCTTAGCTCGTTCAACAGGATCGCTCGGTACAATTGATTGATACAGATTAAGATAAGATCGAGTTGTTTTTTCTATTGTTTTTTTTTTATACACTATTGTATCTTCGTATTTTATTTCTCAAAGATTTTTTTTGTCGGTACGCCATACTTCATCAAATCCGATGATTAAATCATCATCTTGAAGGTTATCTTCTCCTTCAGGTGGAAAAAAAAAGCACAACCCCAGAAAGATGGGGGAAAGGAATATTACAAATAAAATACATCGAAATCAGACCACTTTTAGCTAAGATTTGCTCGCTTTTCAGCTATTGTTCTATTGTAGTCGATCGCTGGATGTGAAATCAATTTCTCCTTCTCGTATTTTTTTTTTTTTCTATTTCTTAATCATATTTACCTCTCTAGCTCTATTCATCCCTACAATCCTCCTCGAAGGTTGAAGCGGCAGTGGTCCAGAGACTTGTTGTAAGAATATATTGGAGTTCTGGCAATGGCCAGATTCTCCATGTATGTCTGGTTATAGTGTCTCTGCTCGGCCTCCATTGGTAATACCAGTGATGCGGCTGAGTGAAAGACGCTGGGATCTCCTACAGTGCTGCCTTTCCCTCCACGAGTGTGGGGAAAGGCTTGGATCGGAGATCTTGAGTGAATGGATATTGTAAATATTGTATAAAAGAATGTATGTTTTTAAGTATTTATTTTGTTAGATTTGATTATTTTTGTTTAGTTTAGTATATACATTATATAGTATAGACAGCAATAAAATAATACTAAACGTTATTATTTTATTGCTGTCTATTACTTTTATTTATTGTGCATAGTATGAATGAGCTACTCTTTATAACTATTACCATTGTCCTTGAATGTGACAGGTTTAATTTATCTCTATAAAGAAATTACCTAAAAAAAAAAAAAAATGATACTTACAACTGCATTAAAGAAATACATCTGGTAAATTTGATTATATGGATATAATGACGTGAAAACACTTGTTGAGTAACTCGCCAATGGTAGCACTCTAATAATATGTCTACATTAGGAGATCACGCACCTTTTCAGACGCCTCGGAGGGTTATCAGGAATCGAAGAGGAAGCAAGGTTAGAAACGAGAATGTTGGGATGATTCTGAAGTTTATTATGGAAGGATAAGTATCTGGATTGGGCCAGATCTGATACATAAGAAACATAAGATCATTATGGATGGTTTTATTTGTTAAAAAGTAGGAAGCATTGAGGATTTTATGAAGAATTTTGGATTGTAAGGGTTGGATATGAGAAGAATTCGATGGTTTAGTGGCGCCCCATAGCTCAATTCCGTAAGTCCAAATAGGCCTCATTATAATCATGTATATTAGTCTTTTGTAATTAATTGTAAGTTTAGAGCGTTTGTCTAGTAAGTGTTGGAGTAGTCGGAAACGTCGAGCGGTTTCTTGTCGTTTCAGTCTTCTCATAATAATAGGTACTACCAATAAGTAAAAAAATATTTTTTTGAGGAATGAGACAAAAATAACTGTCTTACATAAGCTCTTTGCTACTTTTAAATACCAGTGAAGTGTGAGGGAGAATCACAGGTATCTCTTAAGTCTCGCTTTTTCCTTCACAAATGGGAAGACAAGATTGGTTCAGAGTTTCTCTGGCTGATTGTAAATAGCATATATAGGTGTGCTTGTAACTAAGATGTTTATTTAACTTTAAGTACATTTTAATTTATTTTTAGTTATTTATGTATATATATATATATATATATATATATATATATATATATATATATATATATATATATATATATATATATATTTCTTCTTTTCTTTCTCCTTACGATATTTTTTTTTCTTATTTCTATGTATTCCATTGTTATTACTTTATTTATTTATGTTTCTGTATATAGTCTGTGCATGGGGTCTCTGAACTTTATTAGTGTGCTTAACTGAGCCAGATTGTAACATTTCTCAATAAAACAATTTGCATGGTTACAAAAATCTGCTCGGTTTGCACATCACCCAATTTTCACTTATCACCCTTTTTAAATAATTAGATAGATTCAGATAGGACTAGTTAATATTTAATTATTTAAATAGATCATCACGGCTAAAGTTAAACAATGGAATAGTTTTGAAACAATTTTAGTCATAATTCTTCAGTTTCTTTCTTTTTATTCTAAAGTAATTATCGTTATATATATATAAAAAGCGCTCTTAAACTCCACTGACTTTAGCACTAGTGACGCGGTTGAGAGAGTAGCTCAGGGATCTCTTTGTGTCCTGCTTTTCCTTCTATAGTTGGAGGGAGAAGCCTGGCTTGGGGTTCCCTGCCTGATTGTATGTATTGTATATAGGTACGACTGTGTTTTTTAATTTACTTATTTTTAGATTATTTTTTTTTTTTTATTGTACATTGTTTTTGATTATTATTTTATTTTTGTTAATTTTATATTTTCTGTATAAATGGTGTGAATGTGTTCATATATCTATATAATTATTGTCCACGTAACAGATTATTATATTTCTAAATAAATAAATTTTTTAAAAATAGATATAAAAAAAAATTTCGGAGTGAAGCCCCCCTCTCTAAAATGAACTCCTGGATCCTCTAGTGGCGACCTCTAATGATCGAGTTTCTAATGAAGAGTTCGCGGCCTATAGTTTAGTATATCAAAATATCGACTAAAAATACATCTTTTTTCTCTTTGTCACTAATTATTCTCTCTCTGAATCAGATAATGAGCATAATTTCTTTTTTTTTTTTTTTTTTAGTTCAGACAAAGCACGTGTCCAGATGTCTCAGAGTGGTCGCCAGTTTCTTATGGGACTGTTGATACGAGATGGTTTAGATAACAAAATCAGAACTTTTGTTTCAGAAAGGTTTTGTTTTCGAGATCTTCTGATTGAATCCTTTCAGTAATCATGTTAGTTAGTTAGGTTTTCCCAATACAATTAATTAGTTCAATTCGTTCCGGATTAAAGATTATTTTTCATTTCGTAATTACAACAATATAATACGACATAAAACTTTTTATCGGCCATTAAATGTTGGAACAATAGCCTCGAGGTATAGATAGGACTAGGCCACAGGAAGGGGAGAAGGGGGGAGGGGGCCAACTATATCAAGCCGTGACATTGGCTAATATCCAGGAGGGGGCAGCCTTCGCCTTTACGATCAACAAAGGGTAAAGGCTTTGAGCTCCGCCGCTGGGTCCTCAACATAGAGTCCTTCCAGGATAACCCGTCTGCGAAGAGGGACATTCCGAAGTCCTGGGGAATAATGGGAAGTCTGTAAAGGAAAATGAGATTTTAATTATTTAGCGTGTATACTTAAATATATGGATCCTTTTTCTCTCCCTAATCTAGCCTTTTCGACTGTACGGGGTTTTTCCAGACCAGAGGAGAGGATGGGAATAAATGCTCCCCAGGATTCGAACTCGTAATTTTAACGTTATCAGGGTGACAGGCAAGCTCAATCAAAGATTCTATGGCGAGACAGTTTCTAGTTTAGCGTGAATTCAGTTTTTACAGTTCGAGTTCAATTGTCAATGATCGTTTATAAAAAAACAAATTATTGGAAATAACAAAGGTTACGCTGCAAGAACGTAGTCGAAATTTTATTGATTATATTGAAGAAAACTTTTTTTTTTTACTTCGGCTGTACTTAGTTTTCCCCAGGCCAATGAGAGGATGGGGGATTAATACCAGACTTATATCCCCCCCAGCACCGAGACTCGAACTTGAAATCTTCAGGTTATCAGGTTATCAGTGTATTACATTCGCGTCTGCCCGCTCAGCCACACCACCCCCCTAGATGAAGTAACTAGCGGTTCATGGACTTACATAGAGTGCACATGTTTTGCCATTGGCAGATTCACGACGAGGCACTAGCGGATCCAGGATTTAATTCTTTTGGGATGAAGGGGTTCAGCCCGAAAGCTTTTTTTTTTCATTTATATAACGATGATTATTTTAGAAAAAAAAAATATACTAAATACCTCAAATAGTGTTTTACTATACAGTAAAAGATAATTTTTAAATATTTTTTTCCTATAAAACTTACATTTTACTATTTTGGGGAGAGGGGAAACTTCACCCTGAAAGCCCCCTCCCCTCTCCACTCCCCCCATAGATCCACCAGTGCGATGAGAGAAGCTTTTTAGCTGAAATCTCCAAAAAAGGAATTTTATTTTTTCCTTAATTCATATTTGTAAGTAATCTAAGCAATAGAAATCTTATCTATCTTATTTTGTGAGTCTAAAACTTCGATCTTCTTTTCCTCCTTGATGCCTGTAGGTCTTCAATGTCTTCGTACATCTCTTTGTTCTTTTTTTTTTGCATAATATTCTTTTCTCGATTTCCTTAGCCCATGGATACACTTCAGTATCTTTCTCTTTATTTTCAGCAGTCTCTCTGACTTGGTAAAACCCATTGTTTCCGATCTATCTCATACCAATGGTCTTACTACCTCCTTATAATGTCTTATATCTGCCTTTCAAGAGAGGTTTTTCTTACATATTTTTTTTTTTCAAATATCTCATATCGCCCAGCTTATTTATTATACTCATCTTATGCTTTTCAGAAGTTATTTTTATAGTTATAATTTATTTTTTTATATTTATTTTAATTGATTGTTTTCGATTCTGTCATACCGACAAAAAAATATTTGTGAAATCATTTATAAATATTCTAATAATATCTATCTATCTGCAGAATCCAGGCCTGCTCCACAATCTTTTTCCACTCCATTTTGTTCTTAGCAATGTTGTTCGTAGCACCTCAGATGTTCTTCCACATCTTCCAGTCAATCTCGGTCTTCCTCTCTTTCTGCTTCCTCTTGGATGTCCCGCCGTAATCATCTTGGGACTTTTTTTCATTCACTGCATATGACCTAAGCGTCTTAACCTAACTTTCTTATTGGTGGAGATATCAGATATGCCATATAAGTACATCAACTCCTGATTTGTTCGCATATTCTACTGGTCTCCTGTGCCAGCCACAATCCAGTTCAGAATCTTTCTTTTCCATGTGTTCAACCATCGTTCATTTTTTACAGTTAGAGTCCACAGAACAGTTCTCTCCCGTACAGGACCACATGCCTAAGTATTAACTTGTGCATTCATGGCTCTTGTTAGAAAAATACTATTAAGAGTCCAATAGCACATATTACCTCTTCTACTTCATATTTTTCTGAGATAATTGTTCCCAGATATTTAAACGTTGTACCCTATTCAATATATACTGATTATTATTATAAATTGATAAAACAAGTAAATAGGACTGTGACAGTTTATTTTATTACATTTTTTTAACAGTTTAATTTATTACATTAACATAATACTTTATTACAACTTTCAGCTAGCGTCCGGCCTGTTTTATAAAAATAATTTTTTTAAATGACTTTCCGCAAGATTGATGTAATCTTCATCATCGGCCAAGACGAAGTTATCTGGATGACTGGAGGCTTGTTGATTGGCTTTCCGACATCTGAAAGATATTGTGAAAATAAATGAAAATTGCGAATAAAAAAAGTAATTTAGAGGTTGAAAACGGGTTTTTCTTGTTGACTTGACAATTAATAAAAAAATATAAATATATTGACAGTAAATATTAATAAATAATGACTAAACTTACCCTGTCCATCTTCCTCTGCCTGTCCCTCCGCCTCTTATCCCTGAAATATCCTTTTATGTCGAGGCCAGTTTCTTCTTCGATTCCTTCGATGATGGAATCAGAACTGAGTAAAACAAAGGATTAGTTACTATCATTTAAATAATATATTTCAAAAATGTAAAAAAAAAAATCATTGCATTGGAAACTACTTGATAACCCTAATTTTTCTATTTTTGTTAAAAATTTATTTTCTTTTAATAAAAGATATCTTAATTTTCAATTCTTAAGTTGTCAGTTATTTAATACAATAAAGGTGTGACAAAGATAGGTTAGTGGAAGTTTCGCATAGTGTAATCCTCTAACAAGGGTAGGCTACAGAGGTGGAATCATCTGGTTCAATAAAACTTTTTTTTTTTGGTGATGCTAGATCGAAAATATTTGACTTTATGTCAGAGAGTTGTTCACAACGCGCTCTAGGAGCCGAGAAAAAAATATGGTATCGTGAGATCTTGTGTCCACCCAGAGGAGTGAAAAGAAAAATATTTCATAAAATTAAAAAAAAAAAATTAATGTATTGTATATATTTCAATCCTGTTGGTTAGGACTTCACTTTATTAGTAATATTATAATTATATAAAAATTATAAAAGCTTCTTTGCATTATGACTTTTATTTCATTTATTTTTTCTGTTGGCATTACAGACTATGTAGATCTTTTGCCGCCTAAACAAGCCTCCTCCATCTCTGCCTGTCTTGGGCTATTTCTTTCCATTTATCTGCACGTTCCATTTATCTTTATTGATTCTATCTATCCATCTACTTTTTGACTTTCCACTTTGTCTTTTGCCTTCTATTAAGGCATTCATTGTTACATAGAAGCTTCTAGATGGATTGATCGTTTTTGTAAGCAGTTCTTTATTGGCCTTTCTTCTTCAGGTGTTACTACTCTGGTCTCAGACGGAGAAGAAAGGCCATTAAAGAACTGCTAACAGAACCTGGTCAATCCTATGATATGAAGGCAAGGAGGTTAAGACGGGTGGGGCATGTAGCTAATAGCAAATCCATCTGGAATCCCCTACGTAACAATGAATGCCTCAATAGAAGGCAAAAGACCCAAAGTTGCAATAGAGCTTCGTGCAGATAAATGGAACGAAATATCCCAAGATAGGAAGATGTAGAGCAGGCGTGTTAGGCGGCAAAAGATCTACATATTTATAGTGATTACATATTTATATATATATATATACATATATATATATATATATATATATATATATATATATATATATATATATATATATATATTTACAACTTTTCCTTAATCGACCTTTGAGTATTAAATTTAAACTTAACTATTTAATTGGGAATAAGGTCATTTAATTATTATTTAATAAACTATTGAATGTTCATTTCTTCTATGTTTATTGACGTTTCGATCCCGGTATTTTCTTTTTATTAGTCAACCATGGGATCCTCTTCAAAGTTAGAATTTTAAAAAATTGAGCTTCGATCAGGCCAGGGACACACCGACAGTCTCTGCACCGTCCACTATCACATATATTAAGCTACCTTATTCCCAATTAAATAGTTAAGTTTAAATTATATATATATAGTGATAAAATATTTTAGGCTGTATACTCTAGACTGAGTACGTCTGCGAGGTGCCCCTCCGAGCAGTCGTCCAAAGTCTTCATTATCTTCCCGATGGTCTCTTCGATGTCCAATGGAAAGTATTCGTTCTCAATTTCCAAAATTTCTGCTCTCTCCATTTTTTATGTATTTCGTTCTTATATTCCAAGTTTCATTCAATAAAAACTAAAAATAGATATATTGAATGAAACTTTATTTTAAAACTTATTCTCTAATTAATATAAAAGCCGAGACAGCTCATAAAAAAAATAACCAAGAATGAGAAGAACCAAAAAGGTTTGTAGACCTAGAAAATACATGTGATAGTGTAACTTAAAAATGTACAGCGATGGTATCTTTTTCCCTTTTCTTCTCTCTAACACGGCGTCGTGTTAAGATACAATTTTGAATAATAGCTCATTACAAAGAGGATGAAATGCTGAACATTTACCTCGTTTACTGTATGCAGCTCAGGTTTTTAATTTCTGGGATATTTGAATCCATATGTTCAACTAAACTCGTTCACTTTTTACCTTTTTGCCTCTCTTACAGTTTTGATTCTTTAAAAGTATAATGTTTCCACTTCTCCACTCCAAAATGTACTATTAAATGCTTTTATGGCGTTTTTATGACTTGTCTATGATGAAAAATAAAATGGTTGTAAAGATCAATTGATATAAAAAACGTATTATAACCTTCTTTTGAAATTAACAAACTAAACTTTACTTATAATAAAATCTGCCTTGGCTTTCCTCTATAAAAAAAACATTGAAGAATAACTTCGACTTTTCAGCTAATATATCCCCAGAAATCGGATACCCTCGTGATCTATAAGAAAAAAAAACTATGTATAAAAAAAGAAATTGCTTAAATTCTGAATGATCACCTAGTTTTAATGTTTTTTTATTAGAGACACCACAGCACAATTTCGATCCTACCACACCGAACAATTCCAGTAATATCATGGGTGATAAATATTCAGGACACAGTCTTTTAAAAAAAAATTAAATTTTTTATTTGTGCCTGGATTTTCTTTTTTATTTTGGCACAATTAAAAAATAATTATTTTTTTTATAAGACCGCGTCCTGAATATTTATCATCCATGATATGTAGAACAGTCAACTAGCTTCCTTCAATATGTATTAGAAAAAAAATTCATTTCCATTTCGTCACTCGTCAGTCAACTTTAACTTTTTTTCTTTTTAGTTCGGATTGCTAGGGATTTCAGATTATTAGAGATTCGAACTATCGAGAACGTCCTGTATTTTAATGTTTATAATTAAAATAATATTCTAAAATTTTATTAGCTTTAAAGCACCATATTTTAATAGTTGTAAGTTTAAAACTATTGTGTTTATGAATGTACTCTACAGATTAATAAGAAAGAAAGACATATAACCGGAGGGGAACGAGTCACGGAAATTACGATAGGAAACGATAAATCTAATATTGTTTGTATAAGAAAGAGTTTATTCCGATATAGTGACAGATCTATGGTTCATATTGAGGGGAGGTGAAAAGGGTAGCATTCGAGATAGGAAGAGGGGGGGGGGGGTGAGGATTTTGATTGTGTGCCGATTGGCTATCGCAGCTGCCTGGGGGCCCTTCTCACTTCCACCATTAATACAAACATAATGTTTTATAAAGTAATCGATATTAATCGATTTTAACGATGGGTTGTTAGGGTATAGAGCTAGGCTATACTGCTACGTACCTTTTATATTATCGAGGTTTCGAAATTTGATTCATTATTTTAAAAAAATAACCTAACATTCTATTAATGTTTAAAAACAAAACTAATGACAATAAAACATATGGTTTTATCTGTTTACTTTATAAAATTAATAGTCCGTGGTACATGTTCCTTTTTATCAAATTATTAACATCCGTCTGACATTTGTGAATAGCTTCATCTCATCGTAAACTACAACTATTTTATTTAAGAAAATTCTTGAAATAGGTGCGTTTTCAATCGGGAGATCGGCAAACTTTATATTTAATTAGGTAGTAAAAACAAGTCAATACCCGTTTGCTTTACACTTGTATCGTAAGATAATTTGATGACGAAATCAAGATAAAAGGTGGCCTAAAAAAATATTAGACTGTTGTACTTATATTTTTATTTATTTAGAATTATAACAATCTGTCACGTGGACAATAGTATATAGTGATACATGAACACATTCACACCATATATGCAGAAAATATAAAATTAATAAAAGTAAAATAATAATCAAAAACTATGTACAATAAAAAAATAAAATAACCTAAAGATAAGTAAATTAAAAAAACATAAAAACATAGTCATACCTATGTACACTTTTACCTTTATAACGTCTTTATTTTGACATGTTGGGGTCAAAACAGCCAAATATTTTTGTTAGTATTTTTCTTGATTTTGTGCTCAAATCATCTAACTATTAAAGTGGAAAGCAAATTTGTGTTTACGATCTTTTAGTACATAATTAAATAGAGAAAGTATTTCGATCTCTAGATTGAAAAAGCCCCATTTTCAAGAATTTTCGTAAATAATAAGACCCCTCCAGATTACTAAGACGTTTTTCCTTTTTCAGTTAAACAAATCTGACGGATGTTCTGTTATAATTTTTAAAATAAAGTAATAGAAGGTCTAAAATTTTTCAGTGGTGAATGAAGAAAATTCATTTTATTCGCAGCAGGGACCATTAAATTCTACGTTTCTTAATCAATACAGACTGTAAACATACTTACATCTAAATGCGTCACTAGAGATTTCCCAAACTCTATTTTATTTCTTTTAAAAACTCGATAACAGATAGAAAGGGTAAAAACAAAAAAATGGATAGGAGAAACAAACCATTTAGATATTTGTCTTTAGCACAGTTTAATAAATGTAATAAAACGTACTTTCCTTGAAAAACGTCAAAAACGCCTTATTGTTTGTACCCTACTCGTTTTTTACTAAAATCCCCATTACAAAAATAATTATAGTATGTAAGAGATAATACTAAAATTTCTTAAGTGCTTCTAATATAATTTTGCAAGAAATAAAAAAACTTCAATTCCTCATAATAGACTCTAAATTACATGTTATTATCCGGGTGGATCAAGAAGTGTGGGCTTTAAGCGGTTCACATTTTGGAAGTCCTCAGAAAAATAAGAACTCATATAAAGAATGCAACTTATTTGTTTTTAGCATTGTTCAATTATTTTATATTGTTAATATACAGGCAATAGACACTTTTTTCAATACCTACTGTCAATATCGTTTTCTTACATTACAATCCATAAATCGCATGACTAGATTTCTGCGAATATTTTTCTCGTCGTGATGTGTCGGATTCGGTAGGCACAGGCACATAGATACGCGGTGGAATCATAGCCACCATCTTCCCAGTAGCTACCTCCAGTCGTGTACTTACTAATCGAGAATACCCTGAGAGGACCGTACTCCGTGGAGGGTATTCGACGCGCCGCATTAGATCCCCGGATGATCCTGACATTAGGCCGGCATTAAGGTCTCTAATGATTTTATAAAACGGGAAACTTCGTGGGAGGCTCCCACCGCTAAGAAAGACACGCTCGTCGCTTCTGAAATTCTTCCCTAGAGGTGAGAACTCTTATATGCCGATCAGGAGGGTGCGATGTCCGTCAGTTTATAAATAGATTAATAACAAAGATCAGATGTATATTCAGAATGTTAAAGTATTTTAAAAAGTTAAAAAAAAAACTATTGCAAGAATTTTGAATAATTATAATGTGTCTGTACATTTATATTGTGATAACATTATATTTTGAATACTTAATCAATACTTTGTATATCAAGATACCTAAGATCTGAAAATCATCCAAAGTGTTTTATCTACGAGAATACTAGAACAATTTTTTTTTTTTCAAATTTGGAACCAAAATAATCCTAGGCAATCCTCGAAACCAGGTATGTAAAGATTTTTAACAAAGATGTCGGATATATCGATAGTTATTAAGAATGTCGAAAAAGTAGCTCGATATATCGAGTATCCATGTTTTAATTTTTTGAAGGAGAGGAGAGAGATGGTTAAGATTGCATTGAACGATATGTTTATGTTAATGATTCTAATATTTATAGTAGCAACAATTAATTATTTAAATATCGCTTATCATACGAAATAACGTCTACTTAACAACATTTGTCAATAAAAAAAATGTATTTAATGGCAATAGGGTTAACAATATTATTAAACTGTGATTTATTTTCTTATCCTCCATTTTGTGATTGGGTGATGCAATTTCTATGACGGTGACTTTATAATCGTTATTTTTAATTTTTTTATTTTTATAAATAAAATGTTATTTTAGGCAATTATATTTACTAGAATACATCCCATATCACGGGAAAACAAGAAATAAAAGCTTTGCAACAGTAAATTATAGTCATTTTTGTTGAAAACACGAGTAATTTTTGATGCATAGAAAATCATATCATTTGTTTACACAACGTGAGGCGAGTCTCAAAATTTTACTTAATAAACCTGAACTTAATTAATAAGGACTTAAGGCTTAGTAAAGGAGGAAGTTTTTCTAAAAATAGGGTAAATCTAGTACAGTTGAAGGGAGATAACAAAAATCACAAATAACTTATGACTTTTTTTTTAACGGTACTTAGGTGTGCTAGTCCGCTAAATAGCCCTCTTTAAATAGTTTTAAAAATGATAAACTCTACTTTATTTTAAAGTAAATTTTATCTAGTTGCCTATGGAGCTATGTTTAATCACGAAAATCAAATATTTTTTTAAGTTACCACTTCCAATTCAACAAAGAACGTGACTAGCTTAAAAACATCTCAATCCCACATCACAACCCTTGAAGAACGGTATCAAAACTGGAGGATTAAAATAAGTTCCAATAAATCCCATCAAATCACCTTTACTCTTCGTCGTAAACCTATATCCTCCTTTCCTACAGTATCCTTTAATAATACCCCACTTATCCCTGTAGAACAAATCTGTTACCTTGGACACCACTTAGACAAACATCTAACTTGGAATCCTCATACCAGATTGAAACGACAAGAAACAGCTCGACATTTCCGACTACTCCAGCACTCACTAGACAAACGCTCTAAGTTTCCAGTTAATTAGAAAAGACTCATATACATGACAATAATAAGACCTATTTGGACTTATGGAGTTGAGCTATGGGGCTCCGCTAAACCATCGAATTCCTCTCGTATCGAACCCTTACAATCCAAAACCCTTCGTAAAATCCTCAATGCTCCCTACTTTGTAACAAATAAAATCATCCATAACGACCTTAATTTTTCTGATGTTTCAGATCTGGCCCAACCCAGATACCTATCCTTCCATAACAAACTTCAGAATTATCCCAACCCTCTCGTTTCAAAATTTGCTTAATGCTTGATCCCCGATAACACTAACTATCGGATTTTTAGAGTGCTACCAGTGGGTAGTTTCTCAACAAGTGGTGTCATGTAATTATATTCTTGTGTTTACATATATTGAAAGCATTTTTATTTGTAATAGAGTTGTATATATCATAAATAAAAAGAAAAAACTTAAAAAATACTAATCTTAAATTTCCTACTTTTCTGCTGGAAATTGGACAATTATTTACATGAACTATTTTGTAGATGTAGATGTCTACTATTAACTTTTTAAATATTTTCATCTACTTACAGGACACCCTGTATATTAATAATAATTCTAATTATTGCCTCTGCTATTAAATTGTTACGTTATCGTTCCATCGAATGAGTGATATGTTCTTCAAACCTAAGAATGTGTGTTTTGGCGAAACATAAATTAATTATTGAATATTTATTGCATTATAAAGGAAGGAGATGGTCGGGGGTGGCGGTCATAAATAGGCTGAATAGTGACAAAACTATTTTATTAAAAGCCAACGTTTCGACCCGGCTTTTCAGGTCTTCTTCAGAACTAGAAACGTTGGCTTTTAATAATATAGTTTTGCCACTACTCAGCCTATTTATGACCGCCACTCCGGACCATCTCCTTCCTTTATAATGCAACGGTCAACTATTAAATATTCAATATGACTCAAAAACCACGGGGCCAACAACGGCCAGATACAAACTCAGCACCTCTTCGCCGCAGTTCCAGACTCCAAGGTAATATCAGATCCTCACAGCAGACTTTACCTCAACATCCCTTCTAGCCCTGAAGAAGACCTGCAAAGACGGGTCGAAACGTTCTTCATAAATTAATTATATATTAACGGATATTTGAGAGACTTGAGGCTTTGTATTGATATTGATATCCTGTTAGGTATTAATCTAACTTACTCACGTCAGTTACTATACCTACCGTACTGGAAGGTCAATCCAGTTAGTAGGACTCGGATGACTCAGAGGACAGACATGACCAAGTGGGGTTTTGATGTTGCCGCCTCCGACAGGTAGCCAGCGTTAGACTGACGTGGGTGGTTGTGCTGTGTTACCTGTGTCCCCGTGGTCAGGTGATTCATCCTACCTGTCCAATGGGATTATTGTTATTATTATTGTTTAACTTGTAGTCCTATTGTGGATCAATTTTGAATGGCATTTTAATTCTGTTGGTTACGTTTAAGCATCACCATGAAGATAGAGTGCCTATTTTATTAAAGATGTAGCGGACACAGCTCTCTATAGCCACGATGCCAGGGTCGAAAAAAAGTTAATCATCATGAGCAGAACATATAAATGTGAATTATAAAATGGTGTTCAATTCCAGGTAAGAGAAGGTTTGTCTGTCGTTCCTTAGCCGCTGCTTTCTAAAATGACTGCCGTGCAAAGATTTCAATATTTACAGAAAATGACCCTCATCACAGGATAGATGACACTTTGATACATGAATCTTTCTACTAAAAGGTGCAGTTTTTTATTGTTCTGCTGTTTCTGTTTTTAAGCCGACTAAATTCTAAAAATCGCGTCTTTGGGAAAATAAATTCGCAAATCTTAACAGGCCTGAAATTTTATATCCTCATACCAAACTGAAACGACAAGAAACCGCTGTTACTAGACACACGCTCTAAACTTGCAATTAATTACAAAAGACTCATATACATGACTATAATAAGGGCCTATTTGGACTTTCGGAGTTGAGCTATGGGGCTCCACTAAACCATCGAATTCCTCTCGTATCCAATCCTTACAATCCAAAATCCTTCGTAAAATATTCAATGCTCCTTACTTTGTTACAAATAAAACCATCCATAATGACCTTAATGTTTCTTTTGTTTCAGATCTGGCCCAATCCAGATACCTATTCTTCCATAATAAACTTCAGAATAATCCCATCCCTCTCGTTTCTAACCTTGCTTTCTCTTCAATTCCTGATAACCCTCCGAGGCGTCCGTAAAGAAGATGCCCCCGTGAACTCCTAATGTAGACATGTCATTAGATTGCTACCACTGGGCAGTTTATAGTAGTATTTCACGTAATTATATCCATAAGTTCAAATTTAATAAATTTATTTATTTAATACAGTTGTAAATAACATTAAGAAGAAAAAAAAAAAGTCTACCAATAGATTGCTGAGACCTAAGAAATAGAATCTATGTTCATTCTTTCAGTAGCGAATCCAGGATATTTTTTTTTTGTTTTGGTGTGGGGGGTGGAATGGGTGTTTCCGCTCGACCGCTTTGGTTTTTATATGTATATTACTGTCTTAAGTAGTGCTGCTAAAAGAAGATATTGGTCTTGCACTTGGCGAGACCAAGACTATGACCGTTTAATTGTTGCAAGACCAAGACCAAGGCAAAGAAAAAGAAAAAGCGTTTTTGTGAATGACAATGAAGGCGATATAGCGACCAATGCTACACAATTTTAGTTACTATATGTGAAGAATTGCTATAACCAATATACTTTTGCATTTAACTCTTCCTATTTTTCATTCGGAGTTTAATTAGTTTTCCCCATTCTAAAATGGTTTGGCTATTGCGGTAGTTAGCACAGTTAAGATACTGGTTATATTAATTAGTGAGTAGTTGATGAAGACAGAGAGGTGATGATATTGTAATTAGGCGTTGAGCTATAGAGTTGAATAAGCCTAAGATCATTAGCGATGGCTAGTCAAGGAGCTTCAGGTCTATTCTATTAGTCACAGTTAGTTAACTAAATCACCTCTTCCTATCTACGATTAATTACGTTCATCATTAACTCTAGTTATTTGTGAAGTTATAAGAAAATTATTATTTTTTTTTTTTTATCGTTAAATTGAATGACCCAACCATTGCATCCCAAACTCTTCAATCGCACACCACAAGCCTTGAAGAATGGTGTCAAAACTGGAGGATTAAAATAAATTCTAATAAATCCCATCAAATCACCTTTACCCTTCGACGTAAACCTATGACCTCATGTCCCACAGTACCCTTTGATAATACCCCACTTATCCCTGTTGAACAAATCCGATACCTTGGACTTCACTTGGACAAACGTCTAACTTGGAATCCTCATACCAGACTGAAACGACAAGAAACC